TAGCACAACATGGCACAACACAGCACAACATAGCACAACATGGCACAACATAGCACAACATGGCACAACACAGCACAACATGGCACAACATAGCACAACATGGCACAACATGGCACAACATAGCACAGCTTAGCACAGCATACTGAAGAAGGGCTAAGCTCGAAACGTGTATACTGGATTACCAGAGAATATTTGACACTTGCTCATTCCTACTGAATAGCACAATATAGCATAACAGCACAGGGAAATTTCCATATACCTTATGGCCAAACAAAAGAAGTTTTGTAGATTGTTTTTCTTCAGCAGGTTTGATCTGCTGTCTTCTTGGCGAAGCGTCCAGGATAAAGTTTGTCATGACTCGCTTCAAAATTGCTATTTACTGGGACCGAGGGGCTTCTTAACTGCATGGCAACATTATGAGAACTTTAGAGGAATTAGCGCGTCAACGCCATAAGCGGACGGGCACCTTCGGACTTGGGGGGCGGTGATCTTATTACCCGAAAAGATTACACAATGCCCGAAGGCATATGTTGTACAAACGCATTTATATCGCAGTAAAAACAAAAACATTCACAATTCTCATGTCTAGTGAAGCTATTATCATTTCAAAATTACAGTAGAATCCCGATTTTTCGAACCTTCAAGGGAAACGAAAATTGGTTCGAAATATCGGAGAGTTCGAGAAGTCTGGGGTAAAATTGCAGTGCTCGACTGAGGACAGGGAAACGACTTTTGGTTCGAGTTCGAGAAATGAGGGTTCCAGGAATCGGGATCATTTCCACTGTAGTTATTTTGAAACCTCATTCCAATCGGCTCTTTTCAAAGCCACCATAAAAAACAAAAGTCTTGGTCTTCGTTTGCTTTGATTCTTTTGTCATTGCTTTGTTGATGGAAATAAAATCCATCTCGTGGATTTCCACGATGCACATTTAAACGATATATGGCTTTTTTATTGAACAGATTTCCTGGATCCGGCTTAGATAATTTGATCTTAACTCCGTTTTGACAAGGCAAACGTCATAGAAAGCAGCCTACAAGCCTGGCTTTGACTACCTTTAAAATTGTTTTCTCCCGAGTACTTTTGCCCGAATCATCAGCGTTTCACCTGATAAATTTCAGAAATTTCTGTGACTAGGGGGCTGCAACCCCGCCCCTCCCGACCCGTACGCCTATGGTCAACGCGCAATCTGATTAACTACATAGCGGTGCTTTGAAAATGGCATCACTGATTTCCCTTTTTCGTGAAATTTCTGAAATGAAACTATTTGTTTTGCTGTTTGACAGATCGGTCAGTGGGTTATCCCAAGACAATTAGACGGCTCTCTCTTGGTTGCTGTCGGCCGATAGAAACCTCGAGCTTACTCTCCAATAGAAGACAGCTTCATGTGACATGATAAAGGAGGAAGCATCCACAATATGTTATTTTAAAAATATTCAACACGGAAAGAAAGCTCTGTCACTTAGACTGACATGTTGTTTTACAGCAGGTGATAAATTGTCTTGAAGACTTCTGTGCGCACAGAACTTGAAGGTTTGAATTAATTATCTTGGCTAAAGCAAACTACTCACTAATTTTCAAAAGAGAAATAAGGAAATTGTTAAAACGGTTCCGGTTCCGAAATCAGTTCCCGATTTACAAACTGAATAGCAAGGAGAACCACTTTTCAAGTGAACAAAATTTACCGTAATTGACTGAAAATTTCGTAAGAAGCATAAACTGAACTTTTTATTAAAAGAAAACTGTTTACCTACCATTTCAAACACACAGGGACTAACATTGATTAAAATTAGTAATAGAAATGATGGGCCGATTTGAAATAGGCAGATTTTATTCTGTACTTTTCCATAAACCTATTTCAAGGTGGTAGACTCACGGTCGTTCTATAGTTTGTTTGATTAGAACTGAGGTAATAATTAATGTTAAGCTAATGAAATATCCTCGAATAATTCATCATTTATTAACAATCACAGCAAACCGGTAATTGAAGCCGCTAACAGTGTAATATAAAAAGCCCTACATCTCGGGCCCCAAATTTTCAGTTTTTACCATAAATTTTAAACCTACATTACAAGGATGTTCTTCAACACAATGCAACTTATTACAAATTATATTTTTGTCAAAGACGCTTGCAGAAAACAACTTTAAAAACAGCGATACATTTGAAGCTTTACCGTTGTCAGGAAAAGAAAACGTATAATATAACTCAGCAATGACTGAACGGAGTGAACTAACTCGATAAACAGCAAATTGCTTCTCTGATTGTCTCCTTTACTGCTTGCTTCACTTCGCTTATCTTCCAGCAGTAAAGAATCGGGTTTAACGATGAGTTCAAGTATATTAAAGATATTGCAAGTCCCAAAAGCAAAAAACTCGACGAAGATGATTTACCATAGTTAAATAAAGCTCTCACTATACCATATGGTAAATAACAAGCAACTAATGTACACTGCACCCACAGTGCACTGGACACTGCCTTTCTATATCGCTCTATGTTCAGTCGATTTATTTGGCCTGGTTGTTCTTGCTGGGCATGGCCCTGTACTTGAATTTGATGATGACGGAGTTTGAGGAAAATCTTTGTGTACGAGGCGATTGATGTTACTAGACACAATGGTAAAACTATATAGCCATACCATAAAGTTACATGGTAATTTCTAAGGAATGATATTGACGCAGCAACGGACATAATCCAAAAGTTTGCTACAATGAAATATGTTCGCTTTAAAGTTACAACTTGTCTGTATCTCAGCCCTAACAACAGGGCGAGAAGTCTGTCCACACCAACTGCACTCATTGTAAGCAAAGATACTGAACACAAAGTATAGCTTACAATAACAAACGAGGCGTATGCGTAGCGACAAAGATTCAATTGTTCGTTAGCCAGAGATATCGAATAGACAACGCTAAGAGGCCCTGTAATAAGACCAACGCAGAGATCAGTTATGGCCAGACATCTAAACAAGAGTTTGGTCGGCGGATGAAGGGACGACACCTTGCGAAGGGCAACGATGATCAGAATATTGCCAAGAACTGCAGTGATGGACAAGAAAACGTTGAACGCTGAAAGATATGCCAACTCTTCACGTATTCCTCTAGCCCAGGTGAATGAACATAGAATTTGTTTTCCTCCACCAGTAAAATTCATTATTCTACAACGCGGGAATCTGATGACTCGTCAGAAAGCAACAGAGATCAAATAAGCTTCAGCTTCGTGCGCTGGATTTAAATTATTATTAAGGACGCAAAATTAAATTAACATCTGCTTACAGCTGTCCTATATTTATTGCTTTAATATAGATTACGTCCTTTTTTGATGCACTCTGGCATCTCTCAAATTATTCAGAATGGGCAAATGCATAATTTAAGAAAAATCGGGCGATGCACGCCGGATGTTATGCGCCTTGCTTATTTGGAAAGGTTTAAATCATTAAAAACTGCACCAACGTAGAATAACTGCAGGTTATTTCTTGCACTATGATTAATAAGCTCGGTTCCCGGGGCAGGGGACTCCCTTATATGGCCTATATAGGCATGTACAGCCCCAAAGGGTAGGGTTTTTCAGCCGTTTTGGTTATAAATAGGGTATCGATTTTGGCCATTTTGGTCTTAAATGAGGTATGATTTTAGCACTCTAGTCTTGAATTGGGTATGTTTCTTTGAAGAAGCTACTTTTTCATCATTATCAATAAGAACGTTAACAAAAGCCCCTCATAATTTATGTTTAGGGCAACTGTGTCAGCCGCAAGTCCCGCAACGGTCATAAATAGGGTATCGAGGTTTTGGCCAGGTCATAAATCGGGTAGCAAAAATCGCAGATTTTGGTCATATACAGAGTAAGGGTTTTGGGAAATGGGGCGCACAACCCCACCCGACTTTTCTGGGGGGCTCGTCTCAACCAAAAATTCTCCAGTTGAGTATTGTAGCAAATATTAAATGTAGAAAGGACATCACCTCGGAAAAAATCCTAGTTCAAGATGGGATTTAAACCCACGTGGGTTCAAATCCCGTCTGGAACTCGGGTTTTGTCCGAGTTGATGTCATTTCAACATTTAAAATGAACCAAAAATTATCAGAATTTATTGGCTTTAGGTTGCCCAGTTAAGGTAATTCCTCTGAAATAAAAGTGACGATAGATTTTTGTTCAAACTTTGTCCACTGAATATTTGTCATATGGTAACTTCAATTTTGAAATAAAAAAGGGGGTGCCCATGCTCATTAAGGAGCAGTGAGGCATTGAAAATGCCCCATTTTGCCATTATTTAATGCTTATTATAAGAACGCATTCTCAGTAATTGTAAAATCTTTGTGAGCCCAGACTCATAAGAACACGCATTAAACTACAGTCAATACATTGTGTCGGACACAAATAAACATTTTAAGT